AAGACACCCAGAATCTACGTTTGATTTTGAAACAGTCCAGAGGCACTCAAATGTTTCCCCACGGACGGATATCAATTTTATGCGTCGCCATTACTCATCCGAATGTGAATCACCGCCAGATATCTCAACTACAACATCTCGCAGAACATGTTCACATTCTAGACGTAGCATGCTATCAATACAACCCGACTTCACATCGCATAAGCGAACGTGGGAATCGTCTAGTAAATTGAACGACCTATCCCTACATCGAAGAAAAGCAAGACGCTTATCAGAAGTAGTGGAGCAAAGAAGATGGACATCTGGAACACCGAAAACGATTTTAGTGTCCCAAGACTCACCGACGGATATAACTGAAAGGAATGTAGTCCTTTCCATTAGTATACCTTCTATACTGCCTCCTCGTTCTGAAAACGCAAGGGGTCGAAAATCGGCTACAGCGACACGTGCAACTCATACGGCACCGGATGAACAGAGAATTAAATTTGTCAAGGCCATCAAACAGTTTTTTGGACGATGTGCCGGTTGTAGGCGGCGGCATTAAATGTAAATATTTTTAAAGTCGAAAATATTATATTTAATATATAATATATTTCCTGACTTTGTCTCAGTCCCAGCCAACTTATGAGTCCCGTGGAATGATCTTGATTTTATTTGAAAAGATCAGCTGGACCGGTACGGAAGGGTTCTTTGTAAAAAAAAATAGGAAAATGTTAAACAAGATGGGTAACTAATATATAGCTATGTTTAAGAAGAATTTAGTGACGAATACTCACAGATCCTCCTACTCTGTTAAATTAAATTATTTAAACAAAATTCTATAGAAACCAAACGATGTGTGTTTTATTGTTCAAGTGTCAATTCTGTGTCTTATACAGGTTGTAACCGTTAAGTGTGCCCGGGCGATAATTCCGTAAATATATGAGATATCAAAAACATCGAAAGTACTTAATGAGTAAAACGACATCAACAACTTTTAAAAAATTAAACTAAAAATATTTGAGTTTAAATGCTCCCATACTTCTAACAACTGTTTTGAATACAAAATTTCGAACTTGCTTAAAAATATACATCAATTTGTCTTTATTCAATTACTTAAAAGATAGTTTTATTACTTTATTTATAGCAGTTTCTATATCTATCTTAAAGAACAGAAAGTCATTCACCGAATAAAGAAACTAAAGCCTCTCAACGAATGTCATATTAAATGCATGGGAGTGTTTAATTCAAACATTTTGAATATTTCTGGTTTTATTTCGAAAAAGTTATTGATGTATTTCTTATTAGGTCGATATCAGTTTAAAGGTTTTAGATATCTCTTATATTTACGGAATTATCGCCTGGGCACACTTTACGATTACACCCTGTATAAAAAGGCAACGGAAATTAAGTATAACCTACTGAACACATTAAACTGAAAAGTCTATTACTGAGTGCTATAAATTGGCAAAATTTTTAGTTTACTTAGAGCAAGTAATTACGTCAAGTTCGTACCTTTGCATTATGTTATGGAAACTATATGACGATAACATCGTTCATGAAAAAAGTAAATCAATATTGTTTTTTTTATTTTCGTACGTACGTATTTTGTCAACGTCTGCCAATAATAATAACACACACTCATATCCCGCACTAGGGAATCCCTGTATCGCAGGTGCCTTGGACACACGCATAGACAACCACAAATTACACTCAAACTTACGAAAGAAATAGAAGCAGGCCACCAGGCCATACAAATATTTAGACGGGAATCGAACCCGAGACCTCTGCGTGGCAGTCCAGCATGGTAACTATTCGACCACGATGGCAGTTAAAGTTAAGTTGACAAGTCTACGTGCCTGTAATTTCACCAGCACTCCTCACTTCAAAACGCAGTAACGGTCATATTACTGCTTGACGACAGAAATAGGTATCGTTGCAATTTGTACCAATTCGTATTTATTTGGTGGTGTCAATACCTCCTGGACGAAGTCCATCGAGTAAATACTCGACTACTATTTCTGCTTTCTAATTTGTGATTTCAGCGCAAACAAGAATTGATATTTAAAAGTGATATAAGGCCCATGCAAGCCAGGGATGGATAGATTTCGCCTCTATTTCTGATTATATACTCGATGATATCTGTTAAGACGCGCGCCTCTTTTTAATGAGCCTTAACTTGTCACATCATTCAGTAGCCTTTACAGCTTTCTTATTTACGTTTATCATAATTAGTTGCATTATTTGTACTTGATATCCATTAATTTAACTATACAAATTGCACAGTCCTGTACTGTAGAAATCGCAATTTCACATTTTATAATTTTGGTACGTAATTGTTACGTACCGCATTGGTATAAAATAACGTAAAGCTGAGCCATTTTGAACTCTGTGGGTTATTTGTTTTTTGTTTTCAATTAGTATCCATTGTAATTAAGGTTCTGTATTATGAGAATTTTAATGGCTTAACGGAGCGGTTGCAATTTCGCGTACACTGTACACTTTATTCGTGCTAAAATTTACAAATACTAAATAAAGATTGTGAACCGAAAACTGTATTACCCATCACAAAATGTAAATTTTCTATTTTTCGTATGTTTGCAAAGAGGTCCAAAATTTACATAAATAGTTATGGACACCGAGACACGCACGAGAGCACTCTGCGCCCCGCGCCCCGAACGAGAGCGCATAATTGTCCCCCGCACCCCGCACACCGTGTCGTACGGAGTTACCGTCCCCCACGCCCCGCGCACCGCAGCGACTGCCTGCTCGCCGCCACCCATACTAGTTGGGAGACTACAATTAGTATATAAGTAGGACCCGAACTATCAATAAACGCAGTCAGTAGTAGTCAGTTTCATGTCCGATCCTGAGGAAGAACCTGAACAAATACAGTCCACAGCACACCATGGACACTCCACACAACAGTCTCATATCATTCTACGTAAGTTTTGTTTATAGTGCTTCTCCCTATTAACCTCATGGTTGTGCGGGAAGGGCACTATTGACATAGTGCCCTTCCCGTCACCAACAAGTCAGGTCCTAGCCCCGTCTCAGCACGTTTGCACGTACTTCATCCGGTTCTCTGTAAGACTAGTGCCTTAAGTGAGTGCCACCGCCCCGGGTGCACGTACAGCACCCTCCCTATTTTCCAGATAGCTACCGGAGCTGTAGGCATGCTCACTTCCCGTCGCACTCCGCACGACTAACGGTTGCCACCGCTGAGCCGCCGACTACCAAATCCCTTCATTTGTGGCAGAGCTGTAAGGCACGCACACATCCTGACGCTGAATAAACAGCTCTCTCCAGTTTCCTACGCGGGCGCAGAGACCGGAAGATATCTAGCTTATCCTCTACTAGCTCTCCGGGCTAGTGCCGGAGATGCCAAGTGGCAGTGACCTGCGACAATGCCCGGACATAGCCACCGACTTAAAGGGCCACTCACGAGTCCCGCGCGCCTGCTCGCCTCAGGCCCTCAACTAGACCGCTACTAAGATGCGCTACATACGCGCGTGACGAAAGCCCCGGTCACACCCTACCGGGGCAGACGAACGTGTTCGTCCCTGCAGCTAACCGCAAATCCAGTCGAGTCCATATCCAAGTCCGGGTCCGCCAGAGACGCCCGTGAAGACGTATAACTGGCGGATGGCTTGGCCCGGACGCTCGCCGTACCCTGGTCTTGCCGTCGAGCCCGCATTCTCTCCGGAAAACCCTATCTCTCGTGTCGGCAAATAAGGACTCCACACAACAGTCGAAAGCTATTTCCCTACTATTACTACATACAGCAAGGCGCTATCTGCACACGCGCAAAATCTGTGCGTGAAGTACCTTAAGACGGGTCACCCATCACTTTCTCGTACTTATTACGTTACGTGGTTAGAGGGCCAACATAACGAAAATTGTAACGTCAAACTGTTATCTATAATTCTATTAATAGAATCCTAATAATTACACATATTCATTAGGTACTTATATCGATATAATGTTCTATTTTTCATTAATTCATTAATTAGAATGATATTGAAGATTTATTTAAAAAATATATTATAAGCACTTAAATTGTTATATTTTGAACAGGTACTTTTAAATAAGGTAACCAAGGTATTTGAAATTGCGTGTCCAAGTTTATCATTACCTAGTTTGTAATTAAGTATATTCTTTTTTTAAATATCATATCAAGTCACGACACGAACAAGTCGTGCGCCTGATGGTAAGCTACACGCCTGTCTGTAACAGTTGCAGTGCCACTCAACTCTTTAAATCGCAAAGATCTGAGGGGCACTGCCACTGCGCCCGTCGCCCTACATAACTGCCTCCGTGGCCGAAAGGTTACCATGCCGTATAATTTGTAGTTGTCTATGTGTGTGTCCATGGCACCCGCGACTCAGGGTTTCCCTAGCACGGGGCTATGAGTGTGTACGCGTTATTAATATTATTATTTGACAACTCCCACGTGCATGTTAATTTCACTAGCACACCCTTTAAAACCGGAACACAGTAATCTGACATTACTGCTTGGCGGAAGAAATAGGTAGTGGCAGTACTTCTCTGGACGAACTCTTTCACAAGGACCTCTAATGCTACTGAAATAAAATTCCAAAGGTGTAATGTGTTTATTAATTAAGGACTATTTTGCAATTCTACGTGTGTAATAGACCGTCTACCTCTTCAAAGTATTACTGTGTATTGTTATGTTCAGCATTGAAACCTGTAGCTGCTATTTTTATGAGAAAACCAAAAATTTTAGCGTCAATATTTTTTTCAATTGACTTTTTTTTCTTTTTATGTACGGAACCCTAAAAATAATGTTTTCTATCAAATATGAGATGTTTTATTATTTTCTTTATTATTTTTCTTTACATACGTGCAAATTACTTGTGACGTCATAGGTACCCACTTCAAATCTTCAATACACTAATGATATTAAGTATGTATTTTAATTAAAGTTTTGTAATGAAATTAAAAGGCAAATTGAAAATTAATTCGTAAATTAATAGCTAAATTGAATTAAACTGTCCATTTGGTTATAAAATTTCACTTTACCGAAACGTTTCAAATTTCAGACATCATTCAATGATGCCAGTGTCCTATCCTGTACTAATTTTCGTCGTAATTTCAATGTTTGTAATTGCACAAGCACTTAGAACGCCAAACGAGGTGATAAAATTGTATTATTATAGCTTTATTATAAGTAGTTTTATCTTTGTCATTAGCAGCACCCCCGGTATGACCAATTTGTGGAGTCGAACTCTACAAAATTTGTTTGGGTGTTCCGGGTAGAGTCTTAGTAGTAGTATAAATCGACAAGAATTTAAGGCACGTATCGAGATAGTGGAATTGTATTATTATAGCTTTATTATAAGTCATTTTGCTTGTCGTTAGGAGAAACCCCGGTAGGACCAATTTGTGAAGTCGAACTCTACCAAATTGGTTTTGGTGTGGGTGTGCCGGGTAGTGTTGTGTGAGAACGGTTCTTTTTCGAAATCGACGGTTCGAGTACCTGTGACGGCTTAAATTTCTAATTCGCTTCGAAAGTGATCTACTCACCTTCTCTACAACCATCTCAGAAATCTGTGGTTCTTAGCTAGATAGACAAAATGTTACTCAGGTAAAACATATAATATAAAACATGTATTTACCACTATACAGAGTGTTTTTTTTTTAATGGGACAGTATGGGGAAATTCGAAACCATAGAAAATACAAGGAAATTCTTAGGAACCATTAAGTCTTTTTTTGGGAAAACAATTTTGTTTTGGTCAAGCGTTTATAAATTTTACCAACTTCTGTTGTCCCGATTCATTTCTTCCAATACAATAAAATCGTTCTTATAAGAAACTGAGTTTATCAGCGTAAAAAAAAAATTATGTAATTAATTTTGTATGAAAAATAATTTTATAGTTGACCAATTCCTGCTGTCCCGATTTTTTCATCCCATACAATGATATATATCTTCATGAAACTTAGCCGATCAGCACTAAAAAAAATTGATCCATTTTATTCATTTTTATGGACAACTCTCACTTGATCAAAAAATTTACAGTGAAAATGCCAAAATTCATTTCACAAAAAAGACTTAATGGTTCCTAAGACAGTTTCCTTGTATCTTCTGTGGCGGCGGATTTCCTCATAATATCCCATTTAAAAAATGCTGTATATCGTTATTATTTCTGGGGCTGAAAAACAGCTTCAGTGTTTAAAATCCAATATAATAATCTGCAGCAGCCACATTAGGAAATTCGTAAAATCTGCTAAATTGTTCTGTAATTTAGTTGTTAAGACTCGCACCCGTGGTGAGGTAACAAGCACTGGTCCGACTTCAATGGGATTGAAGGATTTTTTCTTTGTATTTGTTCGATTTTTGTATAAATAATAATAATAAACTAGAGGAATGTTTTCACAAAAAAATCATTGTGGTAAACACATCGATATTCAATAATAATATTGCGACAATGATAACATGAAATAAATTATTGTAAACCTATTGTACTCTATCATACTGGGTGACATTTGTTTATTGCACTATATTTTAGGACGTGATTGTATCCATTGAAACAACTAAGTTTTTACTATTAAATATCCTACACTAAAAAATATATATCTTAATAATACTTTCGTTATTTTCAAATTTTGAGAAATTAAAAAAATCACTTACTACATGTTGTAGTAAGTGAAGTAACTTTTTATTTCATTTTTTGCAGTTACAGAAAAGTGAATTAATGTCATTATCCGAAGTAGACGGACGCAGGGTGAGTTTGCCTTACATATTTATCGTTAATGAACACAAAATATTGGATGTTGTTTTTTAACACATTTTTTAACGACAATTTGCAGTTAGCCGTTGATGGTCTTGACTCTAAACCAATATATGTGCGGCGCATTCGCCAAATGTTTATTAAATTAATGATAGCGCGTAGCAGTATACTACTAAAGCCATCTAGCGGCATTCGTACCTACTAAATATACGCATTCCGTACAACTTTATTTTCGTACAGACGACAGAGGAGTTAACTCTATTTATTGCTTCAGGGAGATAGATCAGATTCGGACGTAGAGCCACATCAGAGAGAGAAAAGAGTAAGTAATAAAATTAAGCATTATAATTTTGTAACGCAACTACGGCGTAACTAAAAACAAGAAAAAAAATGATTTGGTTTTTAATTCTTAAAGCGTATGGCAAAGAGCGGTTCAAAAAATGAATAATTAAAAAAAAATTGATATTTACTAATTTTCAATTTAAAAAAAAATGTTGTGGATATTGTCACGAATGGCTACTTACACAGGAGACTCTTATGCTTGGAATGGATTAACACTAATAGGGTTATTTATGCTAAGTTTCCATGTTCTAAAATAAAATACCTTAATTACAATACCCACTTTAAGTCTCGATATCCTAAAATAAATATTTAATTTGAATCATAAACCATTTTGTCTTGTTAATTAGCACTATGTTAATATATTATATATTAATAAGAGTTAATTATCGAGTTCTTAGGTTTTCGCGATTGTTACATATAGGAAAAGAAACAATTTTTCCGGATTTAAATTGCGTATATTTGTTTTTTCAAACAAACCGACGTTTCGGGCCCTTTACAGGTCCCATGGTCACGGTTGACTGAGGTGGTACAGTCTTCAACCAGTTATGTCTAATATTGGTGCAAACCACGCAAATTGATGCAAAACATGCAAAAATGGGGTGGTTAGCATCAATTTTAGACATAACTGGTTGAAGACTGTACCACCTCCGTCAACCGTGACCATGGGACCTGTAAAATGCCCGAAATGGTTTGTTTGAAAAAACAATTATACGCGATTTAAATCCGGAAAAATTCCTAAGAGTTAATTAGTCTATTATAAAATGTATCACCATTTTGAAGACAAATAAATGAGTTTATTGTTATTATTATTAATTCCGTTTTACAGTGTGCAGCAAAAAAATTATCGGTGAGTGTCATAGACAAAAGTACAACATTTCACGTCTTCCAAATAGCTGCCTCCGTAACTGAATGGTTCTGCCACGCAGAGATCACAGATTCGACTCCCGGACCGGGAGAAATATTTGTATGGCCTACATTTATTTTTTCTCGTCAGTTTGGGTGTAGTTTGTAATTGTCTATGTGTGGTTCTATGGCAACCGCGATATAGGGTTTCCCTAGTGCGGGGCTATGTTGAGTATGTGTTTATGGCACACGGGCGTCGCTTTGTCGCGATGCCATGATTTCCATATACGTAAGTGTGGCATGTCATTATGATTTACATGTAATACATATCAGAAATATTAAAATAAAATAGTACATAATAAAAAAAAATATGATACCAATTTAGAGGATGAACAAGTCCGTAGCAGTTGCAGTGCCACTTAAAGGTTTAAATCGCAAAGATCTGAGAGCCACTGCCACTGCGCCCGTCACCCTGAGACTTGACAAATCCGAAGTGCAAAATATTTCTTTGAAATTTTATGAAAAATCAATCCAATATTTAGTTACTAAATAACTATTTGGCGTTCTACAGGTAACTTTCTTTTTAATATCACAATTTTGTAAACTGAACAAAGTAGAACAGGCTCCGGTAATAAATTCTTAAGTAGTTTTTTACAGACTTTTGTTAATTCTCGTGAAAACATGAACTAAGTTGTTGCAGCACTTAAAACAAGTAAATGGTTATAAGTTAAAATTATTAAAATGAGTTAACTGTTCTTTCACCAGCACCTTTGTTCTTCAAAACGGGAAAACAATAACGCTCATATTATCATAAATTATCAAAAAAACAAACACTATAAATCACCTTTATTTTGTAAATTGTTTAATTGTTATTATATGTCATTTATTTGCACATATGAGCATGTTTTTGTACCTGTTTAGAAGTAATTAAGTTAGTTTTTTAAGATTTTTGCTCTATTATATTATATCTTTACTTAAATAGACTGAACTCCTTCGCCGCGGATAAAGCCAAACGGGCTTTTGTGAGCGAAGCTTGTAATTAGTAAATAAGTATTTTTCCTGAATTTTGGTCAATAAAAAAATTACTACTTGGTGGCAGAACTAAGTAAGGTTGCAGGGTGGCAGTATTTCCTTGGACGAACTCATTCACAAGGCAAGAGCACGAAAAACGCATTGGAACTGCTTTGTGCAGGCGTGCCGCCTACCACCAGGTCTGGCTTCGGTCACTTGGTATCATAAAAAATACATATTGTATCTTCTAATACATTAAATATTTATATTGCGTTACAGTCACACAAAGTAAGTATGAAACAAAATATATTTTCTAAAAGAATTCTGAGATATGTGGTTTACAGGCTGTAACAAATACGATCATGGTGAAAACAAATATTTTTTTACATCATACAAATTTTTGATTGGCAATTCGTACGAGGCACTTATGCCTTTTTATTCATATTAATTATTTTATTTGTGAAAACACAGATTGTATAACAAACATATTGAATGTATATTTATACATTCCTACAGCTTAATAATTTCTTTTCATAATTATTTCTTTTATTTTTCGCAATATATTTAATTAATACAATTGCACTGTCATATTACGTCAATCAAGAATTTATTCGGTACCTTAAATTTTAATATATTAATGAATATTTGGATATGGATTAATATTTCAAGATATTTTTTTATTATTGTTTTTGTATCTGGCTATATATTGGGTGATGTGGATACCTCTAATTGGCTTACACATAAGAACTGCCTTACCAAATGTTGTCTTTTATTCTTATTTTTTCTGTATAAACTATTGGTGTTAAATACATTGTAGAGTTATTTTTTTAAAAAGGGATAAGAAGACACTACTATATCGAGGGCGTGTCTCGGACCGAACAGAAAAAGTAATTTTTAGACTGTCTAAATTAGGGCACGGTGTATATTAAGAAAATGGAGATGGCGATTAAATGGCACACTGTATATTAATAGGAAAAATTTTAGTGTATTTACAAATTCGGTGACGTTAATGTATGCCGAAAAGGTTGATCCAAAGGGGATGACTTATTTACAAGACTCACAAGACTATGTGAGATTTTAGAATGTAGAAATGGTGATGGAAGGGTTGTCACTGTACGGCCTGAATAAACTTAAAAGAAATACTAGAGGAGTGTCAAGAGTTAAAAGAACTAAAACGTGGTATGAAAACGAGGTGGTATATCAAATGAACCTTTGCCGTGACGAGAGTCTCCAAAATTAGTCGTTGCACACTTCACACAGAATTACGAACTCTGCCCGTCCCAGGCGAGGCGTTGGTAGGTAAATCCGGAGAAAACTCAGGCAGACGGTATCCTCCGCCTCTATTTAAAAAAAAATTAGCACATTAATATTAATAGCTTCGCTGAAAAAAAGACTACAAACAAGAATCCAACTTTTCTCGTCGTCGTTCTCCCAAAAAACAACCCACTTTTCTTTTTGCATTTCTTTTTCACTAGGCAGGAAATAGTTTATGTTATGTAAATGGCCGTGGATATCAATTAAATCCTCTTTAATATGAAATTATAAGGAGTCACTCCCTTTTCCTTGCAACATTATTAAAATATTAATCGTGAGCTAAAATTATTTTCTGAACTTTAACAAATATGCGTGCCAGTCATTAATGGTATCAGTACATGGCATAGTGTGTTACAAAGTAATTTGTAAATGAACGCTTCCTAAGGTACCCATATAGATGGCGCTAATCCTAACCAAAAAAGAATAGAAATCAGTGCATTAAGCGCCATCTAGTTGATTTGTTTGGTATCACTAGAAATTAGAGTAACTTTGATAAATTGCAGCATGTCAATGTAAAAATAAATTAGTTACAATTGGTACTTGTCACGACATCTGGTGTACCAATAAGTACTAAACATCCAACTAAGCGGTCTTGTATCGCTATTAGCAGACCTCTTGAGTTAAAATTGAACCATGATTATACCAAGGTTACGAGATATAAAAAAGGCTCTAAAACAACAAGCTTGGCTAATATTTCATTTGATTGTTTACAGGCCAAACTTCATAGTGTAAGTATTGAACAGTTACCAACGCCTTAGCTTCAACGTAGACGCTTGAAATCTGTTTTGCTCCAGCACACTGATTTTGATTCAAACCGGAACCGAACTGATGGGGTTGTCTCGAAATCAGATGAGTTTCTGAACGAGAAGATGAACCTGATTCCTACTATATCTTTCTAATTTGTGAGTTAAATCAACTATTGTTCCGATTTGAAATGTCAAAAGTTTCCGATCGGCCAGTTGTGAATCTTTTGCTTTGCCGGTAGTCTCTACCAGCATAAACTCTAATAAATACACCTTTCACTAGATAGTTTAACCGATCGCTGTGGCTATATCTACCTGTAAAATCTTTTGTATTAATAAGTACAGTCTCCATTACAGAATGTTGACTTATTTTAAAATTATACCTATAAACTACCTACATATACCTACGTAAAATAACAACCTCGCAGCACTGTATTACGAACATCATAAACAACAACTTTTGCTCCATAACTTTTAATTATTAAGAATACCATCAAACTTATCAATAATGCTTATCTAAACTTTTGCTGTAACAAAACCTCTCGCGTACATAAAAACGATCGATTGTAAAAAAATAGTAATTTTAACAGACTCAAAGAGTGCGCTCCAACACTTCATTAAATGTACTCAAGGAGCAAGAGACGTCCCGGTGGCATATACAATAATTATTCGCCTATTGTTAGAATTTCGTAATCTTAATTTTTATATAACTTTACGTTGGATACCATCAAGAGAGAGGAGAGAGGAGAGAGAGAGAGAGAGAGAGAGAGTCAGAGAGGTCGCGCAGTAAAGGCATTAGGTATAAAACGTTGCAGTATTTCGGACTCCAAAAGAATGAGAAAGGTCCAACCCTCAATTGCACTGAATGTGTCATAGTGGAGGTTGTTATTACCATATCTTGACGGAGTGTGTACGGAACGGAGCCGAAATTAGGGATGTTTCTTATAGTTTGGATTGAAATTTGGAAGATTTGGGTGTATGTAACATTTTCTTATCTTCCTCAATATCAAAGGAAGCAAAATTGTTGTATAGATTAGTTGACGTGGAAATTAAGCGAAGATCGTATATG